CCCAGTAAAAACAATTGTTACCGAGATATTCAAAATCAAGTGTTTAAGCAAGGAAACAAAGGTAACCTTTTCAGTGGAACGTGCATTCCAAAAATTGGTAAAGTTATTCTAGTGTGTGCCACTGGGAAATCAATCACAAACTGGGCGGGAAAAGGTGAAATAAATTGAAGTAATACACATAGTTGTATTGGTTTAGTAATCATTTGTTGAGTCCTTGCTGGTGTGCTGAGTAGATTATAAGGTTTGTTACCAACTTGTATTGATCCATCACAAAGCCATTAACAGGACTCACTTACTGGTTTGGCTAACTTCAGAATAATCAAAGGAAATCACAATATACCAAAAAAAAAAGAAACAAAGGAAAGCACGAAATGTAGTTCAGTACTGGCTTGCTACCACTACTTTTTTTAAAATGACTCTTTGATCCATCGGAACATGAAACACAAGATAGGGGATTCTAGTATTCGGAAGTTCATATATGCATCTACAACAATTGCTATCCAAATCTTAAGCTTAATAGTAAGACGAATATTCAGTTTCTACCCTTACTCTGCTATCCAAATCTTGCTAGGGGATTGTAATATTCAGTCACCAGGAGAACAGACGGAAGCAACCTAGATTGTCATGAGAATTGGAATAAATATATGTACGAAATCACAGTTTGGGAAAGTCCTCTACTTAGGATTTAGACCAAATCACGGTGTTACAATGGGGTTCACATAGAATTTAGATCAAATGAAAGTTCAGATAGGACAGAAATTCAGATTTTTCATCATTGATTCAGAAGTTCAGACATTTATACAGTAAACAGATTAATAGCAACCATATCACATCAGTCAGAGATTTGAAGGCCTAACAAGGTGAAATCGCAGTTAGAGCTTGCTTCCTTACGAGACCACGCGGCCGTTTGGAGAGATCAAGATGGATATGGTGACGATTAAAATCCAGATGGGCGAAGAAGGGAAGAGATCGTTCTCGAGGTGGTTCAAACCTTGATTCCGAGTTGCTCGTTGTCCAGTGGCCGTGAACGTCCGCGTGTAGCAGGAACGGCGTCGGTGTTGATGTAGACGCAGGACGCAGGAGCAGCGTTGGTGCAGGATGCAGGAGCGGCGCTGTCAGACTGGATCGAGGAGAGGAGCGTCGCACCGGAGGAGAACGGGGGAGGAGAGGGACGTCGCGCTGCCTCCGCCGTTGGGATGACGTGCCGCCTCCGCCGCCGGGATGCCGCCCGCCTCCCGGGGCTGACGGAGCCTGCCTTCTCCGGATGCCGGCAGCTGTCGCAGCTCGCCGCCGCCTCTTCTCAGCGCACGCCCACGCCGACGCTAGCAGTCGTGGGGAGTCGCCGAGGTTCGCTCGAAGTCGTGGGGAGTCGCCGGGTTTTTTTTTTCGCGTGTGCGCGTCGTGGGGATTGGTCGTGGCGACGGGGAGGGAGGCAGGCTCGCGAGGGAGGGAGCCTGGTTGGAGGAGCGTGTCGCGCGTGCGCTTGGGGAAGCGAGCGAGCGGGAGCGTGATTGGAGGAGCGTGCGGCGAGCGTCCAGCAGCGGCAGACTGCGGGAGGGACAGAATTCAAATTGAAGGAGTCGCCGGGTGAACATCGGGTGAGGGTTACTTCGTCTGCCGGTGAACGATTCTTACCGATATGTTTTAGTTGTAAGCAATATGCGCATTTTAATTAAGAAACACAAACATCCCGATGTATATGTTTTTGAAAGACAGATAATCACACTACTACGGGGTGTGTGTGTGTAAGCTAGAAGCAGCAATATGTACGTGCGTGTATAGCATGCATCCTACTTTATTCGTTTATGTATATTATATTATATTCTATAAGAGTGTGGTCGTCTACTCGTCTTAGAGCAAGGCTAATAATTTAGCCTGCTGCTGGCTAAATACAGGTGTCACATCACATATAGTAAGCAATATAGTTCTTTCATATAATAGGTTGGCTGAGAGGTCAGCTATATCAATACACAAGCAATTAATATTTTACGGTTGGAACCCAATATATAAGAATAAAACGGCGACTCCCAGCTAGCTCTCAGCCAGTATAATGCCCATGCTAACGCCACAACTTTATCTTGGTAATGCACATAAAACAACCTAACAATGAACTTTTCCTATAGTTTAACTTTTCCATAATAGTATATTACCCGTGTTAACGCTATGGTGGCGTCTACAAAAAAAAAAAAATCATAAAACTAAAATAAATCATAAAACAAAAAATAAATCAACTAATGAAAGAAACACGAATTCACAGTCTCACAGAGATTAGTCATTTCACACACAGAAAAAATAGACAAGCCCACACAGCACTACTAAGACGGGTCTTAAAGTTCATAAACCATCCGTCTATATATTATTCTATAAACAATAGTTTATGGCTGGGACGGGTATTTCTCCGCGGCGCGCTGCCACTCCACTCTGCCAGGCGTCCTTCAAATAGAAACCCATACCACCAGACACATTGACCCCCTGCAAAAATGTAAATAGGCAAAAGGTTATGAGAGACAAACTTGACAACCTGTTCCACAAATGTTCTTATTCACAGCAAGAACGCAAACATAGAACACAAGCACATCGAAATTAGTCGAAGAGGTTGAAGAGGCCGACGTCCTCCTCCTCCTCTGCCTCCTTCTTGGCCTCCTCCTCGGCTTCGGTAGCGGCGGCGGCAGGAGCGACGACCACGACGGCGGCGCCGCACGTCATCCTCGGTCAGGAGCGCGGGGACCGGGGTCGGGAGCACGGCGCCCCCCTCCTCGGTAGCCGCGGCGGCCTCCATGCCTAGGCACGCCATCAGGTACGTGACTGTCGCGTCGCCCACGGATTGCGGCGGGTTTTGTTTTTCGTGGAAATTGCATGGGTGGGAGTAGGAATCGAACTCGGGCGTGCGGGATGCGGGGAGGAGCGAGGGCGCGGCGTCGGCGTGCGGGGTGTGGATGCGTGAGAAGCCTAGCATCCCACGTCGAATCGTGGCCATCGGATTTGATTTAGGTGTTTTATTAGCCCTTGATTTTAATAGAGATGAATTCTTGTGCATATTTTTCTGGGTGCATAATGATTGGAAGCTCTCAGCGGGGGACGTTTTCTGAGGGGCCCTAGTATAATTTTTGATTGGTCCATTGGACAAAGAGGAGCTTGTTTGGGCAGAGTTAAAATGTGAGGAAGACAATGACATCAGACCTAACGGATGTTCTTCTCCTTTTCTCTTTTGAGCCTAAATGGTCATGCTGCTATAGGTCTAAAACATGGTACTCCAGAGCTTGTTACTTTGTCTCCAGGATTGAGCTCTGAGAGCAGAAAATGACAGAACCTACTTGCAAGGAAAATGCCACAGCGGCTAGTTGCATACATGTGCGCTCTGTACAGGTTATACTTGCAAGGAATGCAGAAAAGAAACAACCCAGATCTGTACAGGTTATATGAAACAACAATTTAACATCAATAATGTGTATCCTTGTTAATCTTTAATATGCCCTGAGCCCTGTTTTATTTTTTGATATATTGACATTTAATTCTTTGCTGATAGACGTTTCACAAGTCTTTTTCGGTATTATATTTGATAGTCCCTCCTTCTATATGTATATCTAAGGCATACTCCTGTTTTATTGTAAACAGGCTACCATGTGCTGATTGCATTGTAATATTTATGCCTTCTCTTCTCTGGTCTCTACTTTTTTGCTCAAGAAGTGACTAACCATGGACCACAGCTACACAGAAAATGGCACATCCTAATATGCAAATTCAAAGTTTCAGACTACAGCTACCGGGAGTTTGCTCGCATCACAATTCAAAGTTTCAGACTACAGAGAGTTGCTCACCTTGCAGCCGTGCAGTCAGGCCGCCTCGCTGTCGTAGTGTCGCTAGTCCTTGCCTGGCTCCTCCCTGGTCGCTGCCGCTGGCTCGCGGCAGAGGTGTCTCGTGCACAGGACACCAGGCGGCAGCTGCACCGAGCACGCCAGCGGGTGGAGCGCCGGAGACCGCCGTACCGGGACCTTGGAGGCCGCCAGGAGGGAGATGGAGAGACCGAGGGGGAGTTAGCGACTGAGAGCCGCCGCAGTGCCACCCCTGGCCGGATCCGCCGGACCGGGACCGGGGAGGCCGCCGGGAGGGAGATGGGAGAGGCCTAGAGGGAGTGGGCGATTGAGAGCTGGGAGCCGCCGCAGCGCCACCGGAGGCCGGATCCGGACGACGCAGGCAGCCGCACGCCGCGAGCGCGACTGTTTTCTTTTTATACGGACGGCGTTTTTTTTTACAGGGACGGGAGCGTTGAAGCCTTCGTGATGAGTCTCAAGTTTTCAATTATAGTAGAGATGTTTTAGTTGTAAGCAATATGCGCATTTTAATTAAGAAACACAAACATCCCGATGTATATGTTTTTGAAGGACAGATAATCACACTACTACGGTGTGTGTGTGAGCTAGAAGCAGCACTGATGTACGTGCGTGTATAGCATGCATCCTACTTTATTCGTTTATGTATATTATATTATATTCTATAAGAGTGTGGTCGTCTACTCGTCTTAGAGCAAGGCTAATAATTTAGCCTGCTGCTGGCTAAATGCAGGTGCCACATCACATATAGTAAGCAATATAGTTCTTTCATATAATAGGTTGGCTGAGAGGTCAGTTATATCAATATACAAGCAATTAATATTTTACGGTTAGGACCCAATACATAAGAATAAAACGGCGACTCCTAGCTAACTTTCAGCCAGCATCCGGCTGCAAGGCACATTTTTCCTCTCGTATTCTGCGTTTCAGCCGTCGAGAAGGAAAACGCCCGCTTAACCATCTCTCTCCTAACGTGGCAACTTTTCTGATGATCTGGAGCTCATCTCACCGGCTCCAACACGTTATTATACCTGCTCTTATCAGCTGTAGACGGTGATGCTGTCACCCGGCCCATGCATGCATGCATGCACAACGCACGTACGTACTGCAAAGTGTGCGTGCAATAAAGCTTATACTCCGTGTCGTCATCCGGCGATCATCGTCATCAAGCTAAGCACCACCACCATGTCGGCCGCCGGTGTAGGGCCCGGTGAACCTCTGTCCGCCGGAGCCGTTCTGGCGCTGGCAGTTGAAGTACATGGCCGCGACGGGCGCGCCGAGGTTGTAGCGGCGGGCGAAGCCGCGCGTGCTGAAGTTGTGGCGCCTGGACGGCGCGTACACCGTCTCCCGCCCCAGCAGCCGGAACAGCACCAGCACCATCCGGTGGATCCCCGTCGTCGGGTTTGGGGCCTCGTAGCACGTCACCTCCCTCTCTGCAATTGTACAATATTTATTAAAACACATATATATACACACGAAGATACACGGTAAGCCTTGTTTAGATGTAGTCGGATTGACATCAATCCATATGTGTTGGGATGGATAAGAGTAGAACTTGAATTTTCCACTCTAATCCGCTCTAACACATGTGGATTAAGATGAATCTGATAACATTCAAAGAAGGCCATACATGGATATTACCCTGGCCTGGCCAACACTAAACGCAGAGATGGAAACCATCAAAACTACACAGACTTGCACAGCTAGCACAGAACAGCATTGTATATATACTTACCGTAGGTGTCATCAGTTGACGCTGGAATGTCAGTGACCATCCTGCATGGACATGAATGGATCAAAAGGATATCGTCTGATAATGTATGCACAACTTGCACATATAAACAAAATGATAATGAAACATGTATATGTACGGCGATCAACTCATGTTTTATGTGTCGTCCCACTCGCATTGACACGCGTGCTGCATGCACCTCTAAGTGCAGCATGGATCGGAGGTACGGTTGCATCGATGGTTCCAGCACAGCTGCATGTACGTGGGGCAACAGGCCAATAACGGTAGATATGCTATGAACGTAGCTAGCTGCTATAAAGCTAGGGCTGCTAGCTCTCTCACCAGTGCAGGTACTCCCTCAGGGTTGGGCTGCTTGGGTTTGGAGCATCAGGATCAACCATCACCTGTATAAATATATACACGGCACAATTTACAGTCAATAATAATGCATGACACAAATTTGCATCCGGCCATGTTAATCACATATACAGAACATATCAAGCCCTGCTGAAGAAGTAATAAGCTAGATGTTTCAACACTCATATATATGTATATCTGCAACTATAAACCAGTTTGCTGTAATATATATAACAGAATTACCTGCACTGTATATATATATTCATCAGATTCAGAGTACATGACAGAGGAAACTACTGCTTGCATGGTATATGCAACACGATCAGCTAGCTTACCAGGGTATATGCAACACGATAGTCATCTCCTCCGATCTCAACCCTCGGCCTCTCAGAGACCGTCGGAGAACGCAGCTCCATGCCGCTGACAATGGGCATGCCATTGAACAGCACCATCAGGTCAATGGAGCTGTAGAAGGGGTCCAAGACATCTCCTATGACACGAGCTGTAACCAAGGAATCGTTGGCCATTTTCAGTCTTTAGTTGCAGTGTGACGGTATACGTTTCTGTATGTGTATGTATAGGAAGCCGGCCTGGAGTGCTACGACTGCTAGGTGTGTGTGCCTTACTTGAAGGTACGAGCTGCAGAGTGGCGTGATATTTATAGTGTGCGGCATGGTGCAGATCATGAGAACCAGTTGTGTATCGAATATGTTGACGAGGATAGATAAACGTACGTGGACTCTTTGGAAGCTTGGAGACTGATGGATATATCTTGGATTCTCCTTTGATTTGAGAGGGCTAGTAGTGACAGATTCTCTCTTGGGAATTTGAATTTTCATCATCGCTTCACCTTTGACACACAAGATACTGAGGGTGAGGATCTGAAACTTCGAGCTCTATTTAGGACTCAAAGTCAACTAAAACTATAGAAGCACGGGTGGCTATTAGTTCCAGGCTTTTAGTCGATCATCATGTTGGACTGAACTTTTGCTGTTGTTCGCGTCTGTCGTTTTTATTTGCTTTCTTGGATGTAAGAGTTTGAGCCTTATTATGAGTTTATGACTAGTTTGTACTGACTCTCAGCTGTGTACCGTCCCAGGACGATGGTAGAGGCTGGAATTTGGTTCCGTTATCTAAAAAAATATATTCATGATCTCTTGATTACTCCTGTCATCTATATACCTTTTTCTCTGTTTCCTAGAACATATTTATTTCTTTTCATGGGTTTGACACATTTAAATTTTATCAATACTCTCCGTCTTGTTAAGCCACCACCAATTACGCTTTCTTTCCCCTTCTTCCTTCTTTAAATTTAAAAGTATATATATATATATATATATATATATATATATATATATATATATATATATATATATATATATATATATATATATAAATAGCACACACAATTTCACAAAAACTATCAGATGGTGTAAAGCAAGCAAGTATAGTGTGGATTTAGTCATGGTGGGAAGATCAAACTCTTAATTAGTTTCTGATCTTAATATATCATTTTTTCTCTTCTGAGAAGAAAATGATTTATGTACGTTGAGAAGGATTCTTAATATGAGGGGATTACCCTATGCATTTTATTTAGTTTAAATTGCCCCCCTAAAAACATTTAATCTAAATTAATTGAACGACATCTTATTCAAATTAATGTTGGCATCCTATGCCCAGTCTTCCATTAAAGCACATGCTGCAGCACATATGGAATTGGCATGTGCGTACGCGTGTGTATTAAGTCATACGGTTTGAGTCTTGATCCAAGTAAAGTGTCCCATGCATGTGTTTAGTAGGGACACAAAGCTTAGTCCACTTAAACTTGCTAAAATGGACTAAAATTGTAAGATTAATTCAAAGGCACAGTTGGAATTGGGTGGAAGCTGTGCCCTTGCTATCGGCTGGTGCTTCGTGTTGCATGGGCATGGAAGATCCCTATGCGTGGGATTACAAGATATCAAGTTCCATATGTGACAATTGATAGGCTTTCTTAGCTTATAAGATAGGAATACAAATCTCAACTACCTAATATACAACAACAAGATAAACTACCATGTCATGTCAATCACAAATTACACCAGAAGGGGTATGGTATAATTACTTCCTATTCTATAGGCCCTCTCAATCATACTTGATTTAGGCTGACATGCCTCGGTGAAACCATCTGTGACTTGATCTCTTGAAGGAACAGAGTCAATTTTTGACTTTTCTTGACATTAATTCGTTATCTAACAAAATAATAATCAATTTCTATTTGTTTTGTCGTGCATGCATGCAACACAACATTGACACAGAGATACTTGGAACCAAGGTTGTCGCACCATAGCTTGGTCGTGGGAGGACGTTGAACACCAATTTCCTGAAGCAAGATTTAAATCCATATAATTTTTGTAGTTGGATTAGCTATTGCTTTGTAACCTTTCTTTAAAACCTTTAGCAACAAGTATTGCTTTGTGGACCCACTTACATTCTATAATATTCTTCCCTTGTGAGATGGAACTAGGTGCCTTGTTTTTTATCAAAGCATCATATTCTAAATCCATAGTATTTTTCCAATTAGTATCTCACAAGGATTCATTAACAATTTCAGATTCTTTTGTTGAGGTAAAATATTCATAACTAACAGTTCCATCAGTGTATAACTTGGGTTGCCTTATACGTCCAAGGTCATGTTTATTGTACAGGATCTAGAACAGGTGTTGAAGGCGTTCTAGAACTTTCAACCACAAATGATTTAGCCCCTATTGTTCAGGTGTTGAAGGCGTTCTAGAACTTTCAACCACAAATGATCTAGCCCCTACTGTTTCTACTAGAACACCAGGCAAAATCAGATCTACAGTCACGTCAACATTATTCGTGGCACGGTAATGTTGCCCTCCCATGGCACGTGGCTGGCGGTGATTGGCCCCGCTTGTAGGATATGGGAAAGGAGGTAGCTGATGCAGAGCCAAACTGACCACTTCTGATAGATTCGATCCCAAGGGTGATGCACTAGGAGCACGGTTATTGACCTCTGGAGCTCCTAAAAGCACTGCATCTTCCTATAAATCGTTATTTTGTTCAACAAAATCATTAGAACTTGGAACATTAGCCAAATGACCATCTAATTATTCATACCCCATGCTATGATTTAGCAAAGTTGGATGAAGGACAGTGGCTTCGGAACATAGACGAACACATATGTTCAAACACAATTTAGCAAAAGGAAACACATTTTCATTAAAAACTACATCTTTGGAGATGTAAATACAGCATGCGGAAATATGAAGACACTTAAAACCTTTGTGCATATTGTTGTACCCCAAGAAAGCACATTCCTTTAAGCAAAACTGAAGTTATTTATTGCTAGTGTTGAATGGACGAAGGTTTAGCTAATAGGCACACCCAAAAAACTTGAAGAAAAGAGTAATCAGGTTTTGTATAAAACAAACACTAAAGAGGAGTATCAGTAACTTTCCTAGGTGTGAGATTTATTAGGAAAACAACAAGATAAGATTCGTCCCAAAATTTTAAAGGTATATGCACATGAGCAAGAAGGGACAAACCTGCTTCGAGTATGTGGAGGTGCTTTCTTTCTGTTGCACCATTTTGCTGGTGTACGTGTGGGCGAGACACAAGATGTGAACTCCCAGTTTTGCTAAAAAAAAGGAGTGAAGTTTTTCACATTCACCTCCCCAGTTGGTTTGAACAACAGTGATTTTTTATTAATAAAAGGGCATTCAACAAAAGTCTAAAAGTCATGTAATTTTTGAAAGACATGATACTTATGTTTCAAGAGACAAATCCGTGTGAAGTTATTAAAATCATTGGTCTGAAACTTGGCTGAAAAAACATAGTACTTGTTTGTTGAGAGAAAAATATTGTTCGGCTGAATAGAATTAGATATGGGGGCAACTGACAATTTTTGGCTGGTTTGTTGCCAGCTTAACACCACCAAAATCATTGATAAAACTCACATAGTACTTGTGTCTTCCAACAGAATTAGATGCGGGTCCCCAAATATCAGAAAACACAAGTTCTAAAGGATAACTTGATAAACTTGTGGATTTTAGATATGGCAACTGACAATTTTTGGCTTGTTGCCAAACATCACACATGTAGTCTTTATTAAATTCAAAAGAACAAGGAAGATCAAAGTTTCATAAACAATTGGAGTAGATGGATTACCAAGGTGACTGTGCCACCTATCAACAGATGGCTACTGACTCCATATGCATGCTTTGCGTGTGGCATAGGTGGAAGAGGATATAGCCCCTTGCTACATGTTTATCTAAGCAGAGTGGGCATCATATCATAATCCTTCATCAAAAAGAAGTTACAATGAAGTAAACTCTAGAAAGACAATATTATCAGAAGCAAGACGATGAATAGAAACAAGTTTTTTGGTGGTTTTAGGAGCAATTAGGACATTATTTAGATGGAGATTACAATTAGGGGTATGAATAATAGATTGGCCATTGTAACTAATGTCCATGCACGTCATCAATGTATATCTTGAGTCAGTTGTTCTATGTTAACAGTTGGAGAAATGTATAATTTAGAAGCGCGTCCGTAAATATTTTGGGATTTTTTTAATGATCGGTAACTTAAACGTAAATATGGAAAGTCACTCAATTTAAGTTATTTTAAATAATAGCAAATAAGGGCAATATAGACACAAATCTACATTGTTTATCCACATTATTTTTGTCATGGCATAGACCGGATGCTTCAGGTTATTTTTATTAGTAACATGTATGACTAGTTTTGATACACATTTAGGGATCAGTTGTAGATTATTGTTTATAATGGCATATATAGGTAATTTAGTTAAATATTAGGGGTTATTTAGGTTATTTTTAGTAACATAAGTAGATAGTTTAGTTGAAAAATTAGGGTTAATTTAGGTTATTTTTTATTTTTACATAGATGGGTTATTTTGATGTAGATTTAGGGGTTACTTTATAGTATTTTTATAATGATAAAGATTGATAATTTTTTGGAAACAAAATAAATCCAATAGTTATTATTATTTTTGCTGATTGAAGTATTTTGAACTGATGACCAAATGTTTTTTTTTATTTTTTAATAATAATTTGTATATTTTTTCTTTTATTCTTCATCTCATGGATCAATATAGATGCTCAAAGAAGCTCTAGTTAGTAATATACTAATTAAGGTTCTGTTTGTGACTGCTCCATGTTTTTCAGCTTATATTTGGAATTGTTCCACAAACTCCATCGTGGAGTGATCCACAAAAACCTGAAGTTTTTGGAGAATCTCTTTATGAGCTCTCACAATTCTACTTTTTTTCGCTGGAGTAGAGTTTGTAGAGGTACACTTGTTTGACTAAAAAACATAGAGCGAAGCAGTCTCAAACAAGTATCTATTTGACTAAAAAATATGGAGCGAAGCAGTCCCAAACAATTTCTAGAAATGTCTCACGCCATCCATCGTATCCTAGTACACTTCAGAAACCAGTGGCGAAGCTACATAGTGAGTTGTGGGCGCACAAAAATAAAAAAACCATTGACAAGATCAATTT